GATGTCAGTGATCAGTTTTAGGGCGCAGGAAAACGTTGTTTATTAAATTCACATTAGCCTGGCTGTTGTATGTAAGATCATCTCTATTCGGAAGTTTAGCGTAACACACTCTTCTTATCATAATTATCCCCATAATTTATCCTTCAATTGAATACAGTTATGAAACGATTTTATAATTTTCATTACAACAGAGAATAGACTGACTGGGTGACTCGGAATAGTGTAAAGAAACAGTGTTCAGCACTTTGAAAAAGTTTCACATATAATGAGTTATATGTCTTGTTACTCCGATCCCCACGAGGCGAAAGAGATAGAGAGAGAGAGAGAGAGAAAGAAAGAGAAAGTGACGAAGAAAAAGAGGTGTAAAGATAAACCCTTTTAAAAGGCCAAATTGTGTTATTGATAAAGAGAGAATTTTAAGTGGCAATTATAGAAAAAGAAGGGAGAGAGAGAAGAAAAGAAAAGAAGATAAAAGGAAATTAGAGAAAAAGAGAGAAGTCTAGTTAGATGCACAGTGGAGTAATGGATAGCGGCTCGGAATGAGAAATCGGAGAGCCAAGTTCGAATTCCAGTCGAGTTCGTTACATTCCCTTACGTGCAAATACACTTGAGAAAGTTATGAATCCATTCCATCTCTCTTTATCCGCAGCTATGGGTAAATAGCAGGGCAAACTAGATCCTATAGCCTTGGGTTGCAACCCGTCTAGGAGAAGAACAACTCTTCAAAACATTCATCATCATCATCGTCTCTTTGACTTTTGTAATCGTAGGGCGGATCCGAATGCAGAAACTCTTTTCCACAAACGGTCTATCAACGGCAGCCATCAGTAATTCTGGTACAGTCATACCTGTCCATTGGTTGACCTTGTCCAACCAGTTTTCCATTGGCTTCCTTTTCTTACGTCTACCTTCAACGGTGCCTTGCCGTGGCCTTGTAATGTGTCCAGACCACGCTATTTTTAACTCTTTGGTAGTAGCGAGATGTTCCTGGTGTCACAGAAAACTTTCAACCTTTTCCACACAAACTCATTGGTTTTTGTTCCCAATAGAAAATGCCAGGGAGTTTTCTCATGCATTTGTTATCAAACGCTTGGATCCTTCTCTCTGTATCTTCCAAAAGTGTCCACGTTTCACATCCATATAGGAGAATGGAAACTACCAGCAATTTGTACAGTCTGTACTTAGAAAGCAGATTTCGTTCCGCCATATTCTTGTCAATTTGGCCATCGCTGCCATGGCTGCGTCAATCCGATTGCGGATTTTCGAGAGGCAGATACCATCTTTAGACAAGATTGCACCTAAGTATGTAAAAATGGACACTTTTTCCAATGAATTCATAGTAATGTTGATACAGTGGTTACTGTTTGTGCTATTCACCATTACTTTGAATTTCTCGGGTCTGACCCCATTCCATACCTCTTTCAACAAGTTTGTTGGTCAAGTCCTGGAGCTCACTGTTACTACCCGTTATGAGGTCAATGTCATCTGCAAAATGAGTAAGTTACAAACAAGTCTACCACCGATAGAGATTGAAGGATCATGGTCGTTCAAGGTTTCATGCATGATTCTCTCTAGAAATAGGTTGAACAATGTGGGTGAAAGTACGCATCCCTGTCGCACGCCAATTAGCATCATATTAGTGGTTTCGGCTGGCGGCCAAGGATTGGAGAGGAGATGGGCGCCGCCAAGTTATCTACAAGCCCACCGAAAAGAAAGGATTATGAAACAAAACAATGAACTATGGGTTAAATAGTCTCACTAATAGCCAAACATTGTGAGTATGGCTACACCCCTGAAGACATTGGGCTCCTCCGACAAGAGTAAGAAGCCCCACCATCCTAGAATTGGATTTGGTTGCAGTATGTTATTCACTCCGGAAATGTCTAGATGTTCTGAATCGAATTTGATACCAATAAAAAAACTTTTGTTCTAAGAAAAGTTGATTCGTGATGACTCCGATATGTACCAGTCTCACCCCAGATGATACTAAAATTGACTTTGCACGCAGTCACACTAGAGCATCAGAGAAGCCAGATGCATCAGCGGGTTGACCTGGAAGGTGATTTTCTAGCCACCAGGTGCCAATTTGTGTCTCAGGCGAGATGTCAGTAGTCGCCTCCAGCTTTTACACAAGTGGTTGACCAACTGTGCTTAGGATATGGAACAACCGAGTGACAAGAAGATATATACATGCACTACGCGGGAGGGAAAGGGCAGAGAGTCTCTCACATCTACGGAAAAAGAAGAATTCACGTTTAGAGAAAATTGCCCGACGTCACACACCCAATAGTCAAACATAGATAGGAAATTGTGGAGAGCTATGAAGGGGCACTATGCATAAAAAAACAAGAAACCCTCGCAAGAAATATTGAATCTCCAACACTCAGTAAGTATCGAACTCATTACAGTCTGCAAGACTAGTTTGTTAATCATAAGTCTACAGAATTGAATGTGTAAGTGATTTTGAAAGAACCAGTTCTTTCATTTTCTAGATTAAAAAGAATCGACCAGCCTAAAATGTAATTTTATCTAATATTTCAATCTGTTTGTACTGGCGCGATGGTCATAGAAAATGTGATCCGATTTACATAAGGTACCTCATAACTGTGACCTTGTGACAGGCTAAGTTAAACATTGTAAATCACAAAAGATTAAACCCATGACGAAATTTGAATATGTCCCTTTTCCTCACCAACTCTGCTGGTCCTGAAGCAGTAGGCTTAGCGATTAGACCACGAACACGGCTGGTATTTCGCGCGTTTGGTAAAAATAAATAATTAACCGTCTATGATTTGGGCTTCTGTAAATATAAGTTCTAATATGATTTCATCCTGCGAAGCGTGAATGTTCGGATAGTCAATTCTCTGAAGTTCTTCACATGAAATTTTCTATAGTGCAGATTGATTTGTTGGTTTTATTTTGTTTATAATTTGGTCAGAGTCTGATTGACTTTGTACCAACTAAAAATTAATTTGCAGAATACCGGAAACATTTGCGCAAATCTATAAAAAATAAAAATAAAAATAAAACTGAAAGAGATATGGAAACGAAAATATAATCACTTCCCACCACCTAAAATCGATTCCTTAGAACCTGGTTGATTTTGTATGACATCATATCACTGAAATATCTCGTAAGCTGCTTCAGAGCAATCATTGATTACACATCACTCACTATTTACTGATTTACTATTGGCAGATTAAAAAAGACCTGTGAAATATCTCCGTTCAGGCCAAATAAATTTCTTACGAGATATTTCATCAGGTGTTTTAGAAAGAAAGAAAATTCCTCGCGACAGAGTCACCTAAAAAAAAAAAAATTATCCTAAGATATCTCATCAGCTGTTCAAAAAGCAAAGACTTAGCCGCTCCAAAATAGAGTAATTTGTAAACTGCAGCAAACTTCACGGCTAACTTTATTATAGGCGAATAAAAAAAGAATACAAATGATATTTACTAAGTTTAATTCAAGAACAGTCCGCAAAAGTAGAGCACTCTATGTGGATTGAACCTAGTACCTTTCTGACGCAAGCTTCTTCAGACTTGCGTGAAGACACCTGCGGATAAAACAAAATATATACAAAAATGCAGTGTCTTAAAAATGTAGTGCGTAAAAAATTTTGGTCTTAAAAAATACCAGCTAAATTTATTCACATTTCAAAATTATGTAATCGTTCGAAGATCGATGTTGATTGATTGATTCGTTTTTGCGGTTTATCAACTCTTTGCTGGTTATTTAAAGCCAAAACATATTGTAAGAATGTTTTTGAGATAATAATGTTTTAGTGATACAAGTTTTGCTAATTAATCCATAGCTAGGGGAGAAGAGGTGGATTCATATTTGTTCCAAAGGAAACCAACGGAAATTGAAACTCGGCTCTCCAATCCATTAACCATTGCACCACCCGCACATCCAAACTTACAGAACCTGATATTCCCAAGCGGTCACCCATCTAAGTGCTTACCAGGCTCGACGGTGCTAAACGTCTGTGATCATACGGGAACCATTGTTTCAATGTGATGTGGCCGTAAATCCGAAGAGTAAAACTAAGTCGAGTTAACCAGTGTTTGTAAAGTGCGTTCAGTCCTCTACTCGGATCTTTTGTAGAACAAGTTAGCTGATAGAATTTGCTCAACTGTAACGTTTATGTTTTCTTGACTTAATTATTGAATATAATGAAGTACGGACGCGTGGCCGAGTAGTTAAATCGTTTTCCACCTTAAGACTCAGGTTCGAATCACACTATAGTCGATCTGGTAATCCTTGCTAGCGGCACCAGTGGAAGGTGCCCTAAAACCGTACGACAGGTTGACTCAAGCTTTGCAAGTGAAAACAGAACTGTCAGAAGGCCGTCGATAATTGTCCTTGCACGAAGTCACAAGCCATCTTGACTGACGGTTTCATCGTACTGACCTTGTCAAACCGTTGATAACTAAAGTCCGTTTAGCATAGTTTCAGTGTAAACCACAAGTACTAATGTGCCTGAGCAGGCGTCTGATGAGTAATCGAGCATCATTAAATGAAGCATTATATATATATATATATATATATATATATTTCTTTCAACTTATTTCCCTTGATTATTTATATCAAGTTGTTATAAGAAGTAATAATCATGTACTATACGTAATACTATTATATTTCTTAGATGAAGCACTGTCAATTTTTCGAGTTTATTTCTGTTGCTTTGTATCATCATTCTAAAATCTTTAATTTAGTAGTTTAAATTTTGATGAGATTCTCAAGTTCATTTCTTTTCTTATGGCTAAATTTGATCTTTTGTGATTGGTGCTGTTTTGATCCTAAACTGTAAGGCTATTTTATCAATGCGTTATTAGTGTATTTACAAATAGCGTCAGTAGTCGGTGTTCGAGCCCTGTTAAAGGCAAGGATTTCCGGGCAAAGCATACTGCCTATCTTCCGTTTCCCTTTATTTGTTTTTATGCTGGACTAATCTAAGTTTAGTAAATATCTTTTACATGAAAATATTTGGTTCCGGAGAACCAATTTGCTTCCTACAACTTCTACAGACATAGGAATTTCACAGCAACTTTCGCAGTTTCTTATTCAATTTTTTAAGGTATCTTTTGTTGATTAGTCAGAATGCAATTAAAGGAACAGGGACGGAAGTACAAATCAGACAAACAAGATTGGAATTTCCTCCCTCTCCCTAATCTTTAATTTTTGGGTAGAATTCTATTGTTTTAAATGCAGAGAAAGGAATTCCTCCCTTCCTTAGTTTGAAAATTATGAAAAAAATCTGGTTATTATTATTATTATTATTAGTAGTAGTAGTAGTAGTAGTAGTAGTAGAAGTAGTAGTATGATGATGATGATGATGATGATGATGATTATGATGATGATGATGTAGACGAATTAGAGAAGAGGTCATGAAGAGTATTAAATTGGTTTATATATAAAAAGCAAAAGTGATGAAAAGTACAAAAGAAAAGCGCAGAAATTTAAAAAAAAATATAAAAGAGAGAAAGAGAGAAGGAGTGGGGGGGGTAAACGAGTGGAAGAGAAAATTATAGATGTTTAGACAGGAGAACGTGAATAGAAAAGAAATAGATAAAGGAAGAGAGACAAAGGAAGAGAGATAAAATGGAAAAAAAGGAAAAGAAAGTGAGAGAGACAGATAGAGTTAGAAGAAGAGAAAGTAAGATATATATATATATATATAGAGAGAGAGAGAGAGAAAGAGAGATAAAGAACGAATGGAAGGGATAGAAAACAGTAAATGGTAAAGAGAAATATAGAGAGAAGAAAAGAGAAAAGAAGAGAGCAAAATAAGGGAAAGAGAGATGCAAATGAACAAATGAATTGATTAGGATAAAAAGTACATCGATATATGAAAAGAGAAAGAGCGAATGCAAAAAGAGTTAATAGGAGAGAGAGAGAGATTAGAGAGACAAAGAGAGGAAAATGAGAAAAAGGGGAAAAGGGAGAAAGAGAGAAAGAAACAGAAAATGAGAAAACAGAAGAATGAGACTGTGAGAAGTTTACCGACAGAGTGAGAGGGATGGAAAATAAGAGAGATATTTAGTGAGTGCGAAAAAGAAAGAAAGAGCAATGGAAAACAGTGTATCGGAAAGATAAGGATAGATAGAAAGAGAGAAAAGAGGAAGAGCTGTAAAGAAGTGAAAGAGAATGAGAAAGGGAGTAAGAAAAAGAAAGAGGGAGTGAAAAGAGAAACACAAGGACAGATGCTTTTAAAATCTTGTTTCAATTGATGTTGCCTTTGTTTTTTTTATATTCTCAATTATTATTTTTAGTCTCTCATTTATTTTTGTTTCTATTTGTTAATGAATTTTCTTTTGTTTTCATCTGCGTTGAATTTTTTTGTATTAGAGATTTTCCAAATCTATTTTGATTTATAACATTACATTTTATTGATTGGCCAAATATTTCTATTGTTTGTCGTTTATTATTATTATTATCTGGATTTTCCATGTAGTGGAAGCTGAGGTTTTAAACTGTAGATCAAGTGACAACATGTCTCATATCGACATTACTTTACACAGTGTTTTACTAACCCTCTTGTCCAACGAGTTTCACGTGTTTCTCTGATTTCGAATTATTTCTGTTTTTCTTTTTTCAAAATGCTTACCAGAACTGTTCCATGTTCTCCAATAATTATGAGCAGTAATGCTATTTTCACAATTTTATTTTTTTCTCTGGCAAGATCCTCGTAGCAATCTAGTTTTTAATTCATTTTGACTCACTGATCTATCAGATTTTCTTTTCTTTGTGTACTATAATTACTTCTGATTTCCTAACCTGGATTGAGTGATTCGTATGGCCAACATCATCATCATCGTCGTCGTCGTCGTCGATGTTGTTATTATTACTGTTGTTGCTGTTTGCTATGATGTTTATTTTATTTTATTTTTTAATGATTTCCGCTGAACTTTTCGGTTCCAGCAATCTGTAAATGCAACACAATTGGCCTTCTTGTATTAAATTGCATAAAATTATGTTATTGTTATGTCTCTTTCTAATTTTTCTATTTGAAAGGCCGATACGGTTGTCTGTTTCTCTTCATAGTAGAGGAAACCGAATATATATTCATTGTTATTGCTTTCCGACATCACCACCGTCAATCTGGGAAGACAGCATAGCACCAGTCTTTCTAGAAGACACGATTTTAAAAATCATCCGTTAGAACTCCTGCATTCTGCATGAGAATTAGACATAAAAATATAAGCCACGGGCGTCGTCTGTTCAAAACATTTATCCAAACTTTAGCATTCTACATTATACTCGTGATTTTAGTACGTTACTATTTTTCTAGAGGAAATTTCACACGGCGAGTAGTCAGTTTCCAAAATACTATTTTTGGATAGAGAGAAAGAGAGAGAGAGAGAGAGAGAGAGCGAGAGAGAGAGAAAAAGAGAGAGAATCAAACAGATAAACAAAGAGAAATGATGTTTGAATTCCTTCTTCGCTCTTGTCTTCTTGAATGGATTTTCGAAATTCACTTAGTACCCCGACAGTGATATTACTACGTAAATGTCTTATTTAAAAGAGCTTTTTACTTTGCAAATAATGGTTATATCAGATCACCGAGCAAAAATGATATAAATTTTGGCCATTTTAGATTTTTCATCGATATTCATTGCATATAATCTTTCTACTTTGGATTACACAAAGCCAGAATAAGGATGTCAAACACTTTTTATCGCAAAATTAATTTTCATAATATTACTATTGTTTCGTTTTTTTTTTTCTATAAATAATAATAATAATAATAATAATAATAATAAGAAGAAGAAGAAGAAGAAGAAGAAGAAGAAAAAGAAGGAACTTAATAAAAATAAACTAAATTTCGGAATTTAATATTTTATAAAAATTGATGCGGAATTATTACAGATTATGCGACAAAATATTTTTTGTCGTTGGAAATTTCTAGTGTTTTTAAAAGATTAATTTCATCATAAATTAATTTATTTTACATTCCATTCCCGAAATATTACTCTTTCTTACTGGGACGCATTGTTCATTTTGTAATGTAAGCCCAATGATAGCAGGAGTTAATTCACTGATTTACATTTTAGAATCTTGTAACATACAAAAAGAGGAAAAAAACATTCATTATGCATATATGAATTTTATGAAAGCAAAAAGATTTATTTATTATCAAAAAATCATCACAGATATTTAGTAATTATGCGGTGTAATCGGATTGGCAATCATTGAAAATCATCCAGTTTTTAGTTGTATGATATTTTATAACAGCAACAACAACAACAACAACAATAATAATAATAATAATAATAATAATAATAATAAATGCTCTGATGCTAATCCAAGCTGGCTGTAATGTGTTCTGATCATAATTGATTGCAGGTGTTAATATGTACATATTTTGTCTTGGTGAATTAAAATAGGTTTCAGTGAATATTCTCATTCAGTACCGTAGATTTGCTTCTCAATTGCCTGACCGTAGCCACTTGGGAACGTCACCCACCCGCCTATAGGAGCTGACATAATCTGTGTCTTTGTTCATGAGTGGGAGTAGTGACGGAGCATCATGATCAAATATCTAGATAACGGTTTTATTTTATTTTGTAAAGGTGACTTGGTAATCACACCTAGGAACTATGAAACATTCTCAATCAGAGATCGTCTGAGTGGATTATATTACCCAACCTGAAGGTATTTCAAACTGGGCCGCACCTGAAAAATTATGCGCTGTTTTTATCAAATTCTGTCAATATTACCACGCTCATTTGGCTGTGATGCATGTGCCTGGTATACACTTATGAAAGTGATTGTCATGCTGGTTATCTTGGACATCGTATATTTGTAATTTAGCATCATTTTGTTGGCATGCTGTTCTTTCACTACTACTACTACTACTATTATTAATAATAATAATCTTTCTATTTTATGTTTATAACTATTGACTTTTTATATCTCAACTTGAAAGGAAAATCGGCGGCTATGAATTATATTTGCGTCTGGCGTGTTAATGTTGAATAAATTAACTTGTAAGCAGCTGTTTAATAACTCTTGTAGCGGTATCTGACGATAATATAAGCATTTTCGGTAAAGTATACAAAGGTTATATTTGATGAGTGGGAGAAATAGGATGAATATCTTCTTTTCTCCTCGACTATCAAAATAGATTTTGGAAATGGATGAATGACAATAAAAGGTGGCGTTGCTTCTGAATATGACAAAGCTAATCATAAATTCAAGTGTAGTATCGTATCAAAGAAATGTAACAATAAAATAGTTTTGTGTATTATTTCTACGGTTCTGTGAAGTACAGAACAACAAATTGAATAATCACATCAATGTGTCTGAACAAATTAAACAGATAAAAAGTGAGTGTAGAATATATGTTGAAAATGAAAACTGTATTGTTTAATGAAAGTTGTTATTAATAATAAAAATATTCGTTTGAAATGAAATTTTAACTTAAAAAAGTGAATTAGTTCCTTGAGAAATTTTTAAACGAGGTAAAAAATCAATAATGAGAGTAAGATTCTCGATCTGCAAGGATTATGGCTGGACGTCGTTTACAAACTTACAAAGTCATTTATTCTTGAACTGCATTTATACTTTGATTTTGATTGACTTAAAAATGCTGTCTTCATGTTCATGATCCCTTCAAATAAGAAAGAAAATTAGTATATGAACTTATACACGATCCCGATTGTCCACTAGCATTGTACAAAATGGCGGTGAAATTCATAGTGGATGAAAGATTTTGTAGATACTGAAGTGACCTATCCTAATCTGGCACAAGGTTACAATTACGGAGTACTCGGTGAAAATATGACTGAAATACCTAGTTTAATAATGCTCTTCATCAGATAGCCTTAATTACTGTTGTTGAATCATTCAAGTATCATATTTACTGTTATATAATGCGCATTTGTTTCTCTCTACGTGTGTCAATCTGTCGACGTAGAGTCTATGGTTATCAATCACTTAAACCCATCTGCTTATTCCATGTACGAAGTTTCACTCCAAATGGAAAATTTAAAGGCTTTTTATTGAATGGTTAAAATATTTTTTTAATTTTATCTGCCAAAACAGTAAGATGAGACTGTAAAATCCTTTATATTAAGAAAACAGTAAAAAAAAAGGTTAAAATCTCCACTTATCCGCTATGTACGTAAGATTTCTATCTTATGTAATTAATTTTATTTATCTTATGATTTCACGATACATCTATGAAATAAATCGTTGATTGTTGACCAATAATTTTGAAATTTAATTCTGCAGTAATGTTATAAATACACACTGAATATTAGAAGATTTATATTACATATGATCACCACTCAATTGTTTAAATTTGGTTATCATTGAATTATTCATCTTTTGTCAAAATATAATCAGCAGATAGAAAATCACACTGACCTTGAACGCCGTTCTATGAATTCTTTCTTGCTAGTAAATCTCTTAATTACAATTATCTCAAGAGTCTAAATGTTTCGATGTTTTCACTTCCGGTAACTGGCTAGACCTTAAGGTGATTTCAAAATAGGGATAATTGATTGGGCGACAAATACTGAATTGGGTTGCAGTTGAAAGCTAAACGCTACTAAAGTTTGAACTGTCTTTGTTCTCATTAGTAATACAAGTTAATCCACATTATTTTTTTTTAAAAAAAGCCCCTAAATAGTGAAATTCAAAATTTAGTAACGAATAGTTCAGTAGCTCATACAAAGAGACCAATTAGAATTATCTTGCTGTAAGACAGCATTTAGAACAGTACAGAATCTCTGTTCAGAGGGCAACAATTCACGGCGCAGAATAGTTTATTTTACAATGTTTAAGGTTTCTCATAGTCAATTTTCTGTGAAAACTGTTTGGCTGATAAAGCAGCTCATCTCAAAATGTCTTCTCAGCTAAGTTCGACAGCTGAAGATAGACATTCAGCATGATATTTTTCATTGGATCTACTAAGACATATTTCCTGATCATTGTTCACCAAACCAAACAAACTTTTATCATTTCAGGAAACAAGTCTATATAACACTGGAAAATGGGATGTCAGTCCTAATTCTCATAGCTAAGAATGTTAAAACCGTTAAAGACAAATGCGTGGTTTGAAGATTGTTCGGACTGGTTTTTTATCCAGAATGGGTAAAAAAAAAAAAAATCTTTTGCATTAAATTAAAACTTTGCCGGATTAAAGATGCAACATCTGTTGTCCATTTTCCTATTTATTCGCAGTATTAGTAGTAGTCGAAGTATATTTGCTATTATGCCTGTCTGCTAGCCAATCCTTGTTACAGACGCTTGCTCAGGTACATTTGTGTTTTTATTTAATAACCACAGAGCCCACCTGTGGTTTATACTGCAATTATGATGAGCGGACCTTAGTTACAGTTTCCGGGAGAGTGCATCTCATATGGCATGATCAAGAGTTTGAACATGGCTTGTAGGCTGAAACATTCAGTCACAATGACTTGTGACTGAGTGCTCGCACAACCATCGATGAACAGTCCTGTCTCCAATTTCAATCTTAACGTGGTATGGTTTTCAAGCATTTTTCAAAGTCTTCAGGCCGGTAACATTGAGTCAGTTTCCTGGCCACGATGAGATTCGAACCCGGGTCTCATGGTCAAAAATCGAATGTTCTAATCACTTAACCGTGCATATATATTTTGTAAGCGTAGCTTTGTTTTGACACAAAACCAGACATATGTGGCGCCCAATTAAGAATGAACTTGTGAGACAAATTTGCTAATCATTAAATCATTATAACATTTTATATGTGTCCTATTAGTTAATTCATTATAGCTATTTTATTTCTTATTATGATTCGCAACAAATACCACAGCGGTGTTCGAATTCCGTTAGGAAAGGCATGAAATTACTTCTTCTTGCACTCTGACTCATCGCTAGATGACTTCACATTGCAGAATAATTGAAGGAGAAAAGTGGCATTTTTGGCGGACCACGCTCTCTTAATTGAATTTCCCGCCAAAGCTGTAGCTCTTCTTTGACGTTTTCAACAATTTTTATATCATCTGCTCTCGGCTGTAATCGTTGAAAACTCTTCTAATTTCTGTCACATCAAGCGGGAACATTCTTACTATCAGTATTTTTTTAATTTAATTACGTTGCAACAATTTTTTACGTACCTATTGATTGAACTCCACTAGTAGAGAGTTCCTCACCTTCTACGGCATCGAGATAGGCTCGAAATAGGAAACACCTGCGTTATCTTTCCGTTATGAATTTACCAGTTATTATTTTAATCACACCATTTTTTCAAGAAGCATATTGAGTTACTTCTATAGAATTTTCGCACTAATCTTTATTCCAATGTTAACGTACTTTACCTTTTTAGAAAGATTATTGCAATAGTTCCCCTTGTAGACATCATTTATAGATTCCATGGTATTTAGCATTAACTGTAGGGCGTGACATTTGACTTGCAAACAAAGTTATTTGGTACAAAGCGAGGCAAATGCCACACACTAAAGGAAAATAATTGCTCTTTTTACTGGTTGT